ACAGGTTCAAGTCCTGGTTCCTCAGTCGTGGAGCAGGAAAATGCAAATGAAATGGTGTCTACACTGCTGAGAGACCCTGAGCTGGCACTGTGGACTGACAGTATGTCCATGCATGTAATGCAGGTGAGCCCAGGCCTGGCTTTGGTCAGTATGGGCCAGCCACATTAAAGGCCTGCTGGAGTACGCCCTCCTAAAACGATTTCCAGCCTGGAGGAAGCTTACGTCCACCCAAGTCAGAACCACAAGAGAGCAGCTTGAGAAAGTCCAATTCATCTATACCAGCATGCTGCTATATGATGAAATATTTGTACTGCATTTCACACAGAGCAAAGTAGAAGAGCACAAGCCTGCTTTTAATTATGCTGGAGTAAGTCCAAGATGGTACTGCAGAGTCTTCGGAAGCCACTCAAGCTTTATGCCTGTCTAAGACCCATGCCTGAATCACTTGAGCATGCTGACTAGAAAGCTAGAGATCTTGTTTCCACTTTCTTTTGGAGTTTTCTGTTCTTATACTGCTGCTACCAGCCCTAAGTGCATCAGTTCTTACTTTGCTCATAAAGAAAGTAGTCTAGTGTTTCACTTAGTACTGGAAGAGTCTATGGAACATCTATAAATATATATATAAAATTATATACCCTGCTCCTGGGCTAAGTCCCTTCTGAATGTGATTAGCCTTGAAAAATGTGGAAATTCCCAGTGCTTTTAGACCATAAATATGTCAGGATGCATCCTTTTTCTCACTTTGTGCTGTATGGGTCGAATATGAAAGGATTATTTTTTCATTCTGCCTTTTTCCAATCTGGAAAGACATGATATGTATTTATTTATTTGAGTGAGCAAAAATTCATTTTCCCATTCTTGATATTACTGTTTATTTTATGATTGAGGTCATCATAAAGGGCATCTTTGAAATGTTTTTCTTTCTTCCTGATAGCTTTTTTGATTTTTTTCCCCTGTAAAAATATTACTTTTTAGTTGAGTGAATTCTGTTATTTCTATTGTCTCTTCAATTAAGCTTTTTAAAGTGAAGTGAGGGAGAAGGAATTAGAATCAAGAAACGGCAGTTGAGCCAGCAAAAATTTTCCAGAAGCACTGTTGAGCTACAATGACTGTATCTACCATATTTCTGTTGTAATCTGTTCCTCATTTCCTGATCAGCCCGTGCAGTTCTCTGAAGTTTGTGGCCTTAACAGGTGTGGCCTGGGTCAGGTATGGACCTTAGAGATAAACAAGCCAATCTTTTCCCCTCAGTGATATCCTGCAGAAAGTGGAATTGTCCACTGAGCAAAACTATGAACCACCTGTGCTTTGGGAAAGGAATCTGGGAGGAAGCTAAAAGATATAGAAGTATTTGTTTAATTAACAAACCGTGGAAAATCAGTGACTATACCCTTGAAGAAGAGCTACCAGACTGATAAAAGGGAACATCTTGGCACCAAAGGCTGGATGGTGGCCAGAAAAACATGAAGTCTGATAAAACTGCGGTAACTCGGTGAAGGGTAAATGTGGTGAGGGGAGATCGTGACCACCGACTCAATTCAGGACCAAAAAGACCCCCCCACACACCTGAAAGGAGCATGTGTGCTAATTTGCATAGCAAGCAAGGCTAATTTAAATATAGTAAACCAATAGTGTATGAAATGTTAATCACTAACCAATAAGTGTAAAATTAGGCGGGATTATACTAATTGTAGTGGGCTAAATATCCTGTAGTGTTGTACGAAGGCGTGCTAGTTTTGTGGATTTACCACCTAGCACCCATCTCTGCGCAGACATGAAATAAAATACCTCTGCTCTTTGTGTTAATTGGCATCTGCACACTGGGCTAACGACCCCGCTTTTGGGACAACATCAACTGCAACCTATTCATTCTGTTCGTTCATGTATTAATTTAGATGTTATAGACTAGAAAAAGGAGAAAGGAGATAGCTTGCTTCAGATACATTACTTTTAAGGGCAGTTCTAAGTTACAATTCCAGGAAAAAGCCACTCCTTTTTTTTTTTTTACATTAGAGTAGGTATTCTAGATCTGTATGAGGGAACTAAAATAAGAATAAGTTCTTATATTTCTTAGTTTTTTAAATGAGATTAATCAATACTAGAATATCTCATTCAAAACTTTGTTACATGCTCCAAAACTGAAGGTTCACAGACAATCAGAAACAAATTTGTGTTCATGTTGCTTTGCAATATCAAGTCACGTAGCTTTGGGCCATTCTAATGTACATTGTACAGAGCTTCCTTTTTTAGCAAAAAATCTGCAAAAGGATTTTGTCATACAAATTAACATCCTAGGCCTTCTGAAAGCAAAAACCTTTTTTCTTAAAAAAAAAAGCATCTAAATTAAATAAAAAAAAAAGAATGTGTATGTAATAGATTATTTGTACAATATTTTTATGTAGCGACTTTAGTGCATAGGACAAAGGACTCTTGAAGACATTCTGAGCCACTTAGCTTGGGAAATCGGTGAGTTCCCAGTCAGCAAAGCAAACCATGCTGGTGGGATCTCATGAGTTGGTATAGGATCTCCTTGTGCAGCTCGCTGAAGGAACTCAGCCTTCATAAGTATATGATGAAGTTCAGGATAGTTCTCACATCCAAGCAAACAACAAACATTCGTGACAAAAAAAATCAGTGTAACAAGTATCTGCCTCCTAAATTGCTGACTAGATAGGCTTTAAGCATATTCTCATACCAATCTTATATTTTGGTGGGGAGACTAGCCCATCTCCTGTGTAATATGATTTTGAAAATAATAGATGAGACTAAAAAATAACAAACAGGGAAGTAAATATTTTCAGATGTGCCAGCTCTGGAGCCAGCATGGAGCATTTGTTGTGATGAATTGGTTAAATGGGCACAAAAAAGCAACTAAACAAGCTAAAGTTAGTAATAGGCAGCTGCAGGCTGAAAGCTTGCCCAGTTTCTGAAGACTGTAAAGACGAAAGATAGTAGAAACTTTATTCATGTTCTATGTGTTTGTGTTTCCCTCAAAGAGGGTTATGAAGAGTGTTAAGAGGAAGAAATATATTCATACATCCTATATTGTCTACAGTCCTGTTGACAGTCTGGACAGTTGGCAGAAGTCAAGAGCTTTAGAGTTTTTTCTGTCTGTTTTGTGTCCCACAACTCTGACTTTCTGCGTTTGCATTAATATGGCAAAATCTGTGATCTTCTTATAACCTTCTTCAAACAAAATTTTGGTTATGCATCTCAAAACATAGCACCGAAATGATGTTTAGTCACTGTAAGTGCAAAAAAACTCCGTACACATTCTCTTTGGTTTACATCAGGATAATTCAGAGCAGAATTCAGCCAATGTTTTGGATACTTATTTTGCTTATTTTTCCTGGGTTTTGGCAAGGTACATCATGGTCTGTTTAGTTAATGCAGTCTTGGTAACAGATCTTGCTTCATCCATTTGCTGTTGAAGGTTGGTGGTGTTCAGGGATTTGAACGTCGCTGGATTTACTATGAAGCATTAATGGATTTGTAAAACAGCAAAATGAGAACTTGCTACCCTGCTTGTCCAGTAATGATTGCCAAGAGTTTTAACAACCTCTTGAAAAGTAATGAAAATCCACTGTAGTGATCCTTCCCTAATAGCAAGGATCTGAGTTTTATCATTGCTTGCCTGCTCAGAGATTTTGTGAGTCCCAGGGCACACAGCCCCATATATTGGAAAATGTAGCCCAAGGGGAATGTAACAGCACAAGATGTGCTCACAAAATAGAGGCAAAAATTTAAATTTAAAAAAAAAAGAAGTGTTCGGGGTTTTGCTTCAGTCACTGAATTTCCCATGTGACCAGTATGACCAGAAACTCTTCCCAGTAGTATTCAGGCTGCTTCTTCCTTCCTTACACAGGGCTTAAGTAGCAGTATAGCTGTGGTTTAGTGCATGGGCAACAGAGTAATTTGCATTAATGCCATTGTTGTAGACTGTGATTGGAATCTATTTGCTTCTTTGTCTTTTGCTGATAGGAAGTTTGCTCCCCTAAATGCAAAAGAATGAGAAAATGAAAGCATCCTCTCTCCTGCAACACAGCGTGAGGTCCCAGAATGTCAGTGCTGAGGGCTGTGTGTAGAGTCCAGTCCTCTTGCCATTGCAGAATTTCTCAGATTTACATTAGCATTGTCACTGGAGAAGATTTTGGGGTGGTTAGGAAACCTCTTACTTGTTTTTTTAACCAGTTTTGGTCAAATAGAGGGCCAGATATGCTTAACATAGGATTTTTTTTTCATTTTCCGTTGTCTGGAATGGAATTCTGCTTCATTTACTTGTGTGTCTGCTCCTTGCTGTGTCCCAAATTTGGGGTAATACTCCTACGTAGACAAAAATTCCGTTGTTATCCAAAATACCTAGATTTCTGCATAGGCATTTTCACACTTAAAAACAGAGGAATAGAGCCCTCTACCCTGACAGAACTGTGAATGGGAATTGAGCACAACTAAGGCCAGAACCAAAACCTAGATAACAACTGCATAGACTGTTGGTATTCTTCTTATATGTTTGTGCAACTGAATTAAAGTCAGTGCATGAACCCATTATTTTCATTAGCTCTGGAAGTGACGGGGTTTTTCCTTATATATTTATATATTATTTTTGTTACAAAAATTGAGTTCTCAGATCCAAGATTTTCTGCTAAAAAGTAGGTTAAATCTTTATAATCAGAAGCTAAATGTGATTTTGATATCAGTCAGAATACTACCTAGCATGTGTGACATATTTTTGTAAATTAACAGTCTAGAATTCATCTCACTCAGTAATCACCATTTAAAAGGTAAGCATGACATCTAAGCACCCTCCACCTCAGCGATGGGACAAAGGCACCTCCTGCCATCCCAGACTGTTGGGATGAACCACTTCCTCCCAAGTGCCTGTTTCTATAAATTTCTGGTAGAAGGTGACCAGTAGTTTCACTCAAATACTTTCTTCTTAGGTGAAGTGAATCGCATCTGAGATTAATAAATTCAGAGAAATATTGGAGGGAAAAGAAAAACCAAACCAGACGTTCTGCAATGCAGGGCATTTGTGTGCCTTCCCACAAGTAAAATTATGCTTTGGATAATAAATGTGCCTATAAATATCAGGTAGCTATGGGAATTTTTAAAGATTGTATGTTGCTGGAAGGATAAATAGAGACTGACTGCCAGTGCTAGCAGGATGGTAATCTTTCTCTCAACAACAAACTTGTAAGTTGCTATTCCCATGTGAAACATTGTAGAGGACAACATGTAAGAATCTAGTATAATAGAAACTGGATCAAAGTGATATGCTTAATACACTGGGTAGATTTCAGTAGTGAACAAAAACTAGAGCCCACCAGACCCTAGGAATTCCTGAGTGTTCTGTAATAAAGTTCATTTTCACCACATAGCAAATTATTACAACCTTAAAAGGCAATTTCATCTTTACCTCAGCCTGAAATGACCCTTTCCCCCCCAACTAGCCTGTTGGCTAGCCTTTTTTCTTCAAAAATTCTGGGATAAGTAAATACTCAGAAACTTGGGCTTTAGGGATACATCTAAAGATTTAGGAACTTGAGAATAGATGCTTTAATGTTGAACTGCTAAAGCCTGGTCTTTTAGCCTGGTCCTCTCCTGAACAGAGCCCCCTGCACTCATCCTCATACTGCACCTGAGAATGGATACCCAGTTCTTGTCACACTCACCATACAGACCCCTCGAGCAAACCATGAGTAAGCTCTGAGGTTACATGTGAAACACAGCCCACCTTGCAGTACTTTTTGCAGGGCTGTACAGAGGCACTGCTATATATTCAAGTTCTGTAGTCTGTAACCATTCTTTGAAGAAGTATGTATAGTTCTCGCTTCCTTTTTTTTTTCCAAGTAATACTTTTTTTTCTCTCTGAACACAGATACTATTTCCCTACTTCAACACCTTTGTACTCTAGAGCACAGAGCCCTAAGTGAGAGAAAGAAATTCAAATATGACTACAGCTTAGCAGCTCTGCACCCATCTCTTAGGAAAATGCCCTCACCCCAAAGCTACAAGCTGCTCAGGAGACGGGCAGTGCTCCAAACTGCTCCAGCTGAATCCATTCCAATGTGCAGAAAGCAGGTTATTAGGAAATATTATATACTTTTATTTGCTCAAATTATATACCTGGAAAAATGACAAACTTTGGGGCTCAAAATGGCTTCATCAAGGCTACCAAGACAGAAAAAAAGGTAACTGCAGTAAGATTAAATTAAGCACACTTATGTTTCACTTGTTTTGATACAGTTTAATCATCTTGGAACTTCTTGCCTTTTTTGCTAACAAGAAACCTTTTCCCCAGACTTGTCTGTTTTCCCACCTATATTAACTTGTCTCATGGAAGACACCTACTTCTGCTTCCAAACCTTGTCTTTGATGTCTTCAATACAACCAGGGAAAAAAGGAAGGCAAAGTTATTTGAGCTACAAATTGCACAGAAGCAGCTATGTAACCACAGGGGTGACGTGTATGGTCTGGCCCTGCCTGCCAGGAGTGTGTATGTTTAAAAGATATAGGCTGATAAGATATAGATACATAAGATATTTTACATCAAAAGATCTAGGTAAAAGATATTTTTTTCAATACCTAAACTTGTATGTTATATTACTATTCTGGAGCCCTGGCAAACTTTGCATCCCATTACCTCAATCTTTAATAAATATTTTGTTACTAGAAGACTGAGAAAATATCATCAGATGTTAAGGAATTTCCTCAACAATTACTTGTTGATATTGCTGTCATTGTCCTAACTTTGTCCAGTGTGACTTAGAAGTCCTTATGCCAAGTGATCTTATCTCTTTCCTTACCAGAAAGCTTCTATATTTTGACAGAGGAAAGCAAAGATAAATAGCATTTTCCCTCCCTTTCCTTTGTGAGCATGAAGCTTATCAAGGGATCAGAGGAAATATCAAAAGACTATTGTCCCAGTGTTTACTATGTCTTATTGGCAGCTAAACAAGTGGAACAGGAATAGCCTATATACTCAGGAAAAAGCCACGGCTTTGACACTCTACTCTCTCGAGGCATATATTCAAGAGGATTCCTTCTCTCCAAGGAGGATTACAATTTTTTCATTCACATTCCTTGATTCCTAAGAGTTGCTCAAGCTAGGGCTATAGTGAGACATCTAAGCCCCTGAGGGCAAGCTCTATGTTTAGTGAGATGATGATTTCTTTTTCCCCTCACTCTGGTCTATAACATGCAAGTGCAATACCAAGTGTATGGCTCTAAATTTTCCGTTACACAAAATCAATCTGCATACCTGCAGCCAAGAATCATAGCAGCAGCATAAATGCATAAATGCACCGGTAATTTCTGGTATCCAATATGTAACAGTTTTGCAGAGTAAGAAAGTGTGTAGTCTTCACTGACAGTTTAATAAAAGAAAAAAATATATACCAAATGTAAAACTCAAGTTGTTTTTGAGTAAAGTATCATTTTTTTACAGGGTGAATTGCCTTATTGAATTCATAAACAACTCCAAAATCTACCAAAGTAAATCCTCTTCAGGCACAAAGAATGGACAGCAGCAGCAAAATAAGAAAACCTTCCCCCAAAAGACCTGGGAAAACAAAGGTCCCTGATGTTACCTTAAATATAATGAATACTAATAGATACCTGCTAAAATAAGCTTCCAATATAATCTTGTCAATCACACCAATGATTTGTGCAAATGGCGTTTGATTTATGGACAATTATGCTCCGTTTTCTTGAGTGAGTTGATCCTCAGTTGACATTCACTTGGTTTCTACCACTCTCTTACCAACATACTACTCCACAGCATCATGAATGTCAGTGTGTTAATGACTATAAAGACTTTACAGTAAAGAAGACTAGTTGTATTTCTAGATAGTTACCATCTACATTTTGAAAAGATGTTACTGGTGATCTTTGTTTTAGCTTACAGACTGGGGCTTTGGAGAGGTCTACTCTCAAATGTCTGCACAAATTAATTTGTGTACTAGCATTAGAGTCTGCAACAAACACTGCTAGTTTGTGGCTTATGAGATCAGATGTATGAATGGAGAAATTTTGTTTCACTCCTGCACCCTTTAAGTAATTTCTCATCCTAGGAGTGAGTCCACTGTTTTCTCCACGGTCTTCTGTGCCACAGATTGCTTCCAAGCCTGCCACTCCTGTCTGCGGGAACTCCCCTAATGCACAGCTGGACCCTGGTCATGTAGTGTCGCAAAAAAAGAATATCCATTATCCACTCAGAAAGGGGTAAGATAAATGCAGCCAAAGATCAAAATCTAGGGTGTTCTCTTTTTTTGATCACAATTTATTAAAATGAGCTCCTGTGCTCAACAAGTAGGAGGATGTCGGACTTCACCTGCTTTTCAAAGTCCTGGAGCTGGTGAATGAATTTCCTTCCCAGCCGGTAGCAACTATAGGTGTGACTACTATCTTGAGCTCTTCAGACTCTGCCTTTGTCAGGCTTCATTGCAGTTTAAACCAATTTCTAATCAGAGTACAACTGATATATTTAAATATGAATCGCTACATTTGGGCAGAATGAGCATGGAAATCAGTTCAATTACATTTTCCAGGCTACACAGAAGTCAGTAGACAAGAACACTATTTGTGTAGAGATTCTTGAATTAAATGAACGTGTTAGTCAGCATGTTCCTTAACATGGCATTCAAAAAGTTATTTCTTAGACTGTCTTCCAGCTGTTGTATAATATTCTGATTTCATTTATTATATGTGCAGTCACGCAAATTCTGTTGACGTCAGTTGTACTTCACTCCTTATAATTAGTGCATAATGCTTTTCTCATGTTTAACGCAGGGAAGTGGAGGAACTATTAATTTTTCTAAAATAATTAAGTTGTCATCAAAATATAATGAAGATAAGAAAATTAAACAAACTCTCTTATGAGTCTGGATGAAATTTAAACTGAAAAAAGGAGATGACTATCTACATCTGAGTTTTTTTTCCAAAAGTAAATAACCTTATTTAACAGAAAGATGGTTCAGCTGGTGCCTTGACAAGTGTGTACATCTGTCACATTGGGAGCAACCCCCAAACACTTAAATAAATGAATAATTAAGGATATCATAAATCTTATGCCACCCACATAATTATGTCACTTTAGTAAATTATCACTGCATAAAACAATCGACTTGGAATGGATTCTTCCGGTGCAAAAGTATCAGAGTGCTGACATCCAGCTTAAAGTTACCTTTGTCCCCCATCAGCTCTTCTGAGCCTGAAATTGATGAAATTCACATTGAAATAAATGAAAAAACTCTTATTGACTCCAAAAAGCCTCAAAATAATGCAGATCTCTTCATAGATAAAAGACAGGATCTAGCCTATTATTCTTATTCATGCCTATTCTAAGCTTGAAGTAGCAGTTTTAATGTCTTGATTAAAAAAAAAAAATCTAGCATGCTAGTTCAAAATGCTATTACAGTAAAAAATAAAATTAAGCCTGGAAAAAAGAAGGTATGAAGGTAGTTAATTAATTAATTCTCAAGAAGGGCATCAGAATCAGCATGGTCAATGCATCCCTCACCATGCAAAAGCTCCCACCAGTCATTCATTTAAACCTTTTGCATAACTGCTTTGACAAAAGTGTGCTTTAGGAAGAAATTTAAGCACTAATGCCAAGACTAAACCACAGATACTTCGTTTTATTCAAGCCTATTGGAAGACTGGAGAATATCTATTTTGCAGAAGAGAATCTGAAAAAGTTTTCTTCAAAATATATTTCTTCTTCTTCCAATTTCCAAAAAAAGACTACTTTTCATTGTTGCAGAAGACCAAATTTGTATCTTTTGGCATAACCACAGGGATGGTTACATCTTGCAGATAACATCTCTGAGAGCTGCCAAACCTTGTAAGGACAGAAAATCCAATGACTAAAAGCATTATTTGTTTGACTGACTTCGAAGAACTCAATGATCCGTGAGCAGACAGAAACAAAAGTTTCATTTGCACGGTACAGCCTTGGGTATGTGGGACTTTTCTGTGCACTTAGTTCCAGGCCCAGTTAGCCCAGCATATACAGCTGAGAAATTGCAGCCTATTTTCCACCTTCTAAATAGGGACCTGATCCAAATCTCAGTGAAGTCATGGGCATCTTTCCACAGACTCCAATGGACTTTGAACCGGGCTCTTTGTTCCAAACACTGCTAGTAAGGAAAGCTGTGAGAAAGTATTATGAGTGGTTGCTCTGCTGAGCCTCTTTAGGAAAAACACTCATCTGTAAGATGTGGCTATGCACATGTAAGTGTGTGGGTGTGTATACAAATTTATATACAAACAGGAAAAAAACATTTTCATAAGTAAACTTCTTTCCTTACACGACTCCCTCTTGTTGCAGCTATTTTGACTGGAAGTACTATAAACAGAGCAGGACAGATATTTGTATCATTCAGACAAGGATTTCTCTTGGGTCAGCGTAAAAGCAAACAGAATTAAGTCTCCTCTTGAGTGAGGCATGGGATATGTCTTGGTCTCCTCATACGTGCATGTAACCTAAGCTTTCCATGACCCCCTTGTTTTTGTTGCCATCTTTTCACAACTACTTGACATCACCCACACTGGCCTTATATTCCCTCCCCACCTCCAAATGGCTGGTGGCTCCTTGCTGTTCCTTCTATTCCACTGCACCCAAATCCCGTCTACCCTTTGGAAAATCCTGCCTGTATCCTGAATAAACTGCCTCTGTTTCTCCAGGACAATTCTTAATGACTGAGAAGGAAAAAGAAAAAAAAAGGAAAAAAAAAGAAAAAAAAAAAGCCAATGGAATTTTTCCATTAATTCTCAATTGATTTCCATTGAATCTGCCCATCTCTCCCTTCCAGGCTCCAACTCACTCTCTTTTAGCTGTATTTGCAATGGAAGTTCTTTACAAATGCAGACTTAACCTTGTCCAGACTATTTACTCCTTACACTGCCAGACTCCTTTGATTCTCATACAGTGTAGTTAATTTTTGCTCAACATATTCATACTATGCAAAGGGACAGTTTGAGGATTTTGCATTAACTTAGCTCAGAAAATAATTTTACTATGCCCTAAAAAAAAGAGAAACATTATCCACACCAGCGATGTGTGAAGACAGCAGGTCCCCAAATCTGCTGCTGAAAAAAACAGTGACAACCTCCTTGTGTTTGTCTTGCTGAGCTAGTTGGTAGCTACAGTGTTAGCTGCAAATACGAAGTTCTGACTTGCAACCTAAAAGAAGATTTTGTTTCAGCCTGAGTTTTGGCTGTAGGAAACAACACACTCCACACCACCAAGTATCTTGTAATTCATCCTGAAATCCTCCAAATTCACCAGCTTCACTGCTGTTTCCCATTCTATCCTTCTGTTGTAGAGCTACAGACTGCTCCCATACTGTTAATACTCCACTCAGTTCTTCTTCCTAATCACAGGCGATTGAAGGTGATGGGTGTGACTACAATGCAGGCTGCTTCTCAGTATGATAAATCAGCCTTTGTTAAGGTCTTCCATACCAGAGTTAATTCAGACAAGGGTACCACAATGCTATTGAGTAGGCAGCAATCTCCCTGCTCAAAACTTAGGAGCAAAAGCTCATTTTTGTATAGGATTCAGGGATTTGGGGTTGATTGGTTGGTTGGTGGGGGGGGTTGGACTCTCCTTATAATCACATCGCTGCTCCAAAGTTCCATAACGTAAGTTTTGTTTGTTCTTTAAGGGCATCTCAGGGAAAAAGATCTTGACAAAATTATCTGAGAGAAACCTGGATCCAGCTAAAGTCGACAGGAATTTTGCCACTGAATTTACTGAGACCAATGTTGCACCTCAAGGACTGTAGATATCTTCCAACCCTGTTGGATCTGTTCTTGTTACAGCTGATCAGAAATTTCCTGTTAGGGAAAATATAGGAGCTAAAGCACTTATCCGTACTGGATCCTCTCCAATACCAATTCCCTTTTAGCTTCCAAGCAAGGCATGAAATATAAAAATGAGCACTCTTCTTACTGTCTGGACAGCCTCCCAGCCATCTGTCTGAAAAGCCACTATGTAGAAGCTTCAAAACTGTCTTCTTTTTTTTTCCACAGGTAGCTTTGCTTATGGTCTGAAAAGCAAGTTTCACTCGTTGAGTGGAACACAGTATTGAGACTTTCCACAGTGACTTCTTCTGTTTTGGGGCAAGACTTTTGCTACATTGAGGCTGAAGGGAATATTCAACACCCTAAATGTTAGGGGCAGGTAGCAGGTGCCTAAATCAGGAGCCCAAGTCTAATGTGTCATCTCTGATGGCTCTAGAGGAGGGTACAATGTGCATAAGTTAGGCACCTACCTCTCTTCATTGACCATAAAATTCACTGTGTTCAAAGAGAAGGGTGAAATTTACTTCCATGCAGGCTACCCAAGCAAGAAACAAATCTTGATCTCCTAACAGTGATATTAAATACAGATTGTGATCAGTAAACCATAAACTGTTGAAAAAGGTCAGGACTGAGAACCACCCAAAAGTCTGAATAGCTCTTGAAGCTATTAGAATCCCTTTTATCTGCTAAATTGGGTTGGACAACCTTGTGAGAACTGTTTTTTTATGAGTTTTTTTAGTTCTTTCTGCTTCTGGATAAGCTGTAAATAGCCTGAGAAAAGACTTTCTCATAGTATTTTGGCTATTCCCATTCTAGTCCCAAGAGACCTGGAGCAGTGTGAAAACAAAGATGGAAAATAATTTTTAAGATTGCCTAAAAGCTTGAAATTGAAAGAGAAGTGCATGCTAAGAGGGTTGAGGAGAGAGGAGTAAGGTAGATGATAAGGCCAGTTTTTTGATCTGAGATGACTCCCCTAGCACAAGAAGCTAGGATGACAGTTGACAGGACCATAAAATGCAAGAACAGCCCTATTCAGACCAAAGATTTGTCTAGCCTGGTATCTGACCAGCAGCAGATGCCAAATTGAAAGTACAAGAACAGGACAAGCACATATTCATACCTCCCTGGGGCTGCTCCCAGTGGCTTGTGTTTTATGGCTTTCTTGAGCTGGTGACGGCATCCCAATTGACTGCTTATTCAAGAGATGGGCTACGCAGCCCCTTCCCACGGTGTGCAGAGAGATTATAGCTCCCGCACATCCTCTTTCTCCTGTGAATTCACCGTCCACCTACCAGCAGCTTTCCTCATAAGGCACAAACAACCCCCATTGCTCTGAGCTGATCTTTCCCTGTACAGCAGAGAGTTCACATCTTACCAGCAAGGAATATTGGGAGGAGATTTGTCTTATTTATACC